TTTTCATTTTCTTACACTTCTCCCTTTTCCCTTTCTCTAAGAGTTCTAAATGATTTTTAAGGGGACTAAAGGCTTCCTTTAAAAAACCAAAGCTACTTGTGTTTGCATAAAGCACTGGCTACTAAGCGCTTACTACATGCACTGCTGTGCACCATCTACCCTGTTCCCAGGTAAATGACTCTACCCACCTCGACAGACATCTACTTACAGCATCTGGCTTAGCCAAGCCATTTCACACTAACCTAGCCACATAAAACTATTTCTGGCTTAATGTCTAACATCTTGGTTAAAGAATATGTTTTTTAGCACTTTTAAGTTATAACTTGAGGTGAAATATTTGTGTGGGAGACTGCTATTAAAATGGTTTTGGCAGTGAACTCTGAGGAGGAAAGCGTTCCTAATTTTGCTCCGTCTCCTATTGGCTGGCATTTAAAGCTGGATAGTTTTGATTGGTCAATCATCTGCGTAAGGCGTTCCTTTGTTTCTTTACTTCCCAGTTAAAGGAGTTGGAAATTTCTGTTATATAAACATGCCTCAGGCTTTGGAGTTAGTTATAGCCCTTCTGATAGTCAAGTACATAGATAGCAAGGATGAAGTGGCTCAGTGTGTGGATTCTAGAGCTGTGCTTCTCACCTGCCTGTCTGTTTGCTTGTCTGTCTGTCTGCCTCCTTATTTTTCAAATCCCACAACTACCATTTACTAGCTATGCAATGTTAGATAAGTTAGCTAACCTAAAAGTGTATTAGCTTTTTCATCAGTGATGGTGAGATTCTGGCAGGATGCACCTCAGGGGGTTGGTGTGAGGATCACATATGTTAATGTATGGAAAACACTTAGAACAGAGCCTGACATGCAGTTAGTCCCATACAAATATTAGCTATTATAGTGACTACGTGGAAATCATTCAGTAACTTATATATGGTCAAGTGACTAAAGTCTCTGTGTGGTCATGGCTTATACACAAGATAAAAATGTAAGTCAGTTATTCCCTAAAAAAGAAAGGATCAGATACCCTAATTCCCACACACCAAGGGAAAAGGGTAAAGGTTTGTAGCAATAACTAAATTATTTCGTGTTTCCTGATAATATTCGGTTCACTCTTCCCATACTCACCTCACTTGATCATTTGTGTGGCTATAGTGGGCACAGAATTCTTGGCAGTGGAACTGACAAGGATAGGTTTAATAGGGTATTTATGATAACCCCTTTCTGAGGCAGCCAGGATTGGGAGTTGACCTCACTCCTGTAGCAAGGAAGGATGTTATGCTGACAGTAAAAAGAATTTACTTGCCAACAGTTTCTCTCTTAATTTGTATTACCCAAAGGCCCTAGATGCCACAGTTACTCTATAAGAAAGAATACTTCAGCTTATCTCTTTGTATCTAAACACCTTTTCCCAATATATTCTCCAATTAAACTAACAAGCCTGCCTATTCTCCCAGACTGTCAAGTACTTCCTATCATGCTTTAATCTTGACTCAGTCTGGACCTGTGGATAATGTCCCTTTCAATAGCTCCTTCAATTTCCTGGACTTGTCATTTTAATTCACATCCCTTTGCCACGCTTCAGCCCTGGATCAATTATGTCTGCAGCTTCGAGGAGCTCCCAGCCCCTGCTGCTACTATGCCTGCTATTGCAGCCACTGGAAAAAATCCTGGTGACAGGGTGCTCAGAGGCTTCATTTCCACATTAATTAGCTCCAGGCTGAGCTGGGCTCTCCATTCTACTTTGCAACCTCTTTACTTGTTCTAGTCATCTCCTTGCACTGTGGTGTATGGAAGAGCAGGGCACTTGAGGTTTCACAAATGAAAAGCCCTTTCCTTTTATGATGGCACAGTGATAATTTGCCAGGCCTGATTCAAGGGCTGTGCTACTCAATTAGATACCCCTTCACACATGCATAATTTTGCGTCCTTTCTTCTACCTTAGCTGTATGTGAAATAATATTTTTGAGATATTAACCCATATTCTTGTTGCTTTTATGGGTATATCACTCTTCTGCCTTCCTGTTATTCAAGCAGATATCTGTGCTTCAGTGAAGGTTTGTAGTAAGATTTCCTGGTTTTAGTGGTTTTTTTTTTTTTTTTTTTTTTTTTTTTTGAGACGGAGTTTCGCTCTTGTTACCCAGGCTGGAGTGCAATGGCGCAGTCTCGGCTCACCGCAACCTCCGCCTCCTGGGTTCAGGCAATTCTCCTGCCTCAGCCTCCTGAGTAGCTGGGATTACAGGCACGTGCCACCGTGCCCAGCTAATTTTTTGTAATTTTTAGTAGAGACGGGGTTTCACCATGTTGACCAGGATGGTCTCGATCTGTTGACCTCGTGATCCACCCGCCTCGGCCTCCCAAAGTGCTGGGATTACAAGTGTTTTTTATAAAAACCTGTGCTATTATTCTAGGAGCCTCTGAAGCAAGCAAAAATAACAAGGAGAAGGATTTTCCCCAGAGTAGAGAAAAAATCTCTCCAATCTCAGTGGTGATGGGAGAAAAAGAGAGGAAATGATGACAGCCAAGAGTCCAGAGAAGAAGTAAATGCAGATTGTGTCAAGGTGGATTAGGGCCTGGACAACCTTACAGGGTGCCTGTGCCTAAAACTTCATAGGAAATAGTTGAGAGAGGTTTTGGAGTTGAAGGGGCCACCAGACAAGAGTGAGGGACTTTCAGCAGCCATCCCCAAGGGCCAATGACCCAGACCTGTGTGACTTACTACTCGAGGACTAAATGTTCACCACCCCCCAATATCTTTGCTCCCCTCCCCTTTTTGCACTGGAGCTTTTTCTCTCTTAAATAACATTAAAATCAACAGCAATAGTCATACAAAGCAGTGACTTTCCAAGCAAATTTGTAACGGACCTTGGTAGAGCTTGAAGGGAAAGCAAGTTGGTAGGAGCCTGGTTATCAACCAGCACAGCTTTCTCCAAAGTACTTTCCCTTTTGTCTCTTTAATGTGAATATTATTGTGACATTCCCTTTGAATGGAAGATTCAGATCAAAGTTTTGTACAGTTGTTCTGTGAGATATATCTATATGGGTATGATACTAATTTGTTTTGGTTGTTGTTTTGTTTGTTTTGCTTGTACAATGCTGGGACCAGTTCTGAAAGCAATTCCCAATGTTTTCAAAGCAATGACAACAAAAGTGCATGACGTTTTTCAAAGGGAACTATTTTGAAGGTCAGTACTTGTTTGCATTTTAAGTTCGCATGTTTGCTAAAGAAGAAAGTCAGTCTCTTTGCAGGGTCACATGTCACATTTTCACTGTCAATACAGTTCCAATAAAACAGGATTAATACATCTGTTCCTTAAAATGCAAGGGCAGAACTGTGACTAAGTAATATTTCAGTTGGGCCAACTAGAATATTCTTTGCTGGTTGGATTTATTATTTCCACTGCAATAATCGTTTCCATTTCACAATTAAATGACACTTCAACCTCTAACAGGACAGGAAATGGCTTTCTTATTCCAGGGTTCAAGGAAGAGTGCTTGAGAATGAATATTATTTTTCTTTATTATCTTTCACTTACCTAATCCAATGCTGACATACTGGGTATTTCTTGCTTCGTTCCTGAGACTTTTCAGGACTTTACTCAGGGGAACCCTCTGGGCTCTGGGCTGTAGAAGGAGCCCCCTAGACAGAAGAATAACTGCTGGAGAAGAAACAGTTTCTATCCAGATAGTGGATCTGCACCCTTCCTGCTCATGTACACAATAGTCTGAGAGCGGTTTTGGTTTGCTGTTAAGGGGTGGATTCAGCACATACAGCAGGTAGCTGCTGCATCTTGGATGATTTCAGAGACTTCTTTTAATTTATGAAACCCTTGGTACTGACTCTTCTGGTAAAGAGGAGAGTCAGGAAGCTTTTAGGAAGTAGGTAGAAGATTCCATTCAGAATGCTCTGCTGATCATTAGTGGGCGGAACAAATCAGAAGTGATCATAGGACACTTCTATGTAATCTAGGAGGGCAGTTTGTGTCCCTTAGTGCAAAATCATGTTTTAATAAACAGTTGTGTCATCTCTGGTCTCTGTTGCTCTCTCTCTTTTCTTGACAAATTAGAGTCTCTAGACATCTATTTGTTGTGTAGGGTTTTATTTTCTAAATGGTTTGGAAATTTAATTGATTTCCAGATAAAATGGATAGCACTTCTTTTAGTCTTCTCTGGATGAAACTTGAAAGTTGATAAAAAGTATACGGGAATTGTTTCAGCTCAGTGATTTCGGTGACTCAGTTAAGTAATAGATTCTAAAAGGACTAAATATTTTATATATATCTCTCTATCTATCTATCTATTGAGAGAGAGAGAGAGAGAGAGAGAGAGAGAGAGAGAGAGAGAGAAAGAGAGACAGCGAGCAAGAGAGAGAGGTTTCACTCTATTGCACAGACTGGAGTATAGTGGTGCCATCATGGCTCACTGCAGCCTCGACCTTCCGGGCTGAAGCCATCTTCCCACCTCAGCCTCCTGAGTAGCTGGGTCTACAGGAGTGTACCACCATGTTTGGCTAATTTTTCAGTTGTTTGTAGAGACAGGGTTTTGCCATGTTGCCCAGCCCGGTCTTGAACTCCTGGGCTCAGGCAATCTGCCCCCTTAGAGTCTCAAAGTGTTGAGATTAGAGGCGTGAGCCACCATGCCCAGCTGGACTAAATATTTAACACACTTAGACTGAATATTAAAAACTCATTGCAGTCTTTACATTTCTATCTTGGGTAGGAGTAACACAGAAGTTACAAGTAAATAAAAGATCAATTAAAAGTTGTGAGTAAATATTTTCAACTCACCAATGTGATGCTGCTACTAATAAATATATATAAAATATTTCTTTTACAAACACACATCCTTATTTCAGAAAACAGTTGTGCTGTATAGAGTATTTCATAATTTTCCCCTTTCAATATAAAATAAATTAGTTTTAAAGTTAATCAGCATTATAAAAATAAGCTGTGGCTCAAAACATATCTTCAGTCTTTGAAAAAGTATGCTATTACTCCAGTCAAGACTATAGAGTGGTGTTTACTTTGGCAGCACATACATTAAAATTGGAATAATGCAGAGAAGATTAGCATGACCCCTGTGCAGGAATGACATGCAAATTTATGAAGCATTCCATATTTTATTTTTAAAAAAGAATATAGAGTGTATCATTCATTCACATTTCTATCATTCTTCAAAGAGCCACAAAGTTAGGAGAACAAATGATTTAAACATTTTAAGCCATTAAATAAATAGCCTTAAAAAGGATTAAATATCCCTTTTAAGAAGAAATCCTTCCGTTGTGTAGCCAAAACCACTCAGAAAAAATTATCTCAACTTCTTTAAGTTATGTTAGTATGTTTCACTTACTTCCATCCTTTAATTACCTCAGTGGATAAAGACAGGAAGAAAGGAATAAAGGAAGGAACTTTTTTCTTAATAAACACAATGATGTCATAAAAGGCCTTACCATTGTCCTTGTTTTAAAAGAAAACAGACATAAACTTCTAACTTCATAAAACAAATCATGCATGAACACAAAAGGTCATTCTTTGCATCACTGCTTATTTCTCATTATTCAAAATGGTAATTTTTTCAGTTACACAATCACTGGAGTTGCTTAAGAAAAAGGGCTAAAATTTACCTATCAAAATGTGCATGAGATCATACAATCTTCCCCCTCTGTCACTCATTTATGGCTACCCCATTTAGTAAATAAAGATGTAGAACACCAGTTAAATTTGAATTTCAAGTGAACATTTTTTAGCGTATGTCTCATGGAATATTTGGCACTCTGTAGTTTATCTGGCAATCCTATCAGCTACCAGATTTTCTTCCTTCTTTTATTGAAATTTCTTTCATTTTCATAACCACTCATCTAATTCCAGCATCCCACAGCTTCGTCCTTACATCAGACCTCATTCATTTCATGCTTGTCCCACAATAACTTTCAGATTGTTTTCCTGTCTCCAGTCTTTGTCCTCTGCATGTCCTTGCCAGAATAGTTTTTTATCATGCCACTTGCCAGATTAAAACTCTAACGGTTCATTAAAAAACAGATAATTCCTGTTATATAAACTATTCAAGAACATAAAGAAATTTATAAAGCTTCCAGATTCCCTTCTATAAAGTTAGCAATAACTACAGAAGAAGTTATAAATATGGTTTCCCGATAAATCTTCCAAAATTGGACACTTGGCTTTCTTAGAAATAACAATGCAAATATATCAAATAAAAATATTAGCAAATAGTATCCAACATTACATTAATAACAATTATTCTTGTTGGGTTTATTTCAGTGATGTAAACGTGGTGATATTAAGAAATCTATTGCTATAATTAATAAAAAATAGTTAAAGGAGGAAAACCTTTTGATCATTCTTATAAATACAGAAAAGGAATGTGCCAATATTTCTCACCTAATTCTGATGCTTTTTAAAGCCTTTATAAAATTGATAAATATATCTCAAGTCAAAAGCTAGAATCATTTATGGGGACATACTGTAGAAGCATTTTCAGCAAAATCAGGAACAGGGTAATAATGGTATTGCCACTATGTTTTAAAGTAGTTCTGGAAGTAATAGCCAGATGCAATTAAATGTGAGAAAGAAGTAACAGGTGTAAGTATTGAAAAGAAGGGAGCAAATTTTATCTTTATTTGTAGATGATATGATTTAATATCTGTAAAGATCTAAGGAAAAGAACGAGAAAGCTACTAGACACAGCAAAGGAGTTCAATAAGTGGCCAGCTCTAGGATTAATATATAAACATCAATAGCTTTCCCGTGACTAAAAAACAACTAGAAGAGCGAGAAGGTTTTGCTTTACTACCGCATTTCCTAAGGAGCTCACTAAGTCTCTGTTGTCAAAATATGTGAAAAACAATCATTTTATTGAGGGTTAAGAAACAATAATGTATCTTGATGAACTGACATCCATCTGGAGCTCAATAAAAGTTATTTCCTCCCTTTTGGAAGCTCTGACTTCACCTTCCACTCTCCTAAATTGGAGTTCAAGTCTGAGCTAAGGCCCCAGTATGACCTGCAGTAGGTGTTTCTTGATGACTGTGAATGAATGAACTGGTACGAGCATGGCTGGGGTTGGAACTTCTTAGATTTGGACCTCCTTAACAATTTACTGACAGCAGTCCCTGAAAGTGGAGTGGCTGTCTCCAAGCCCAGACCATAAACAGTGAAAGGATCAGCCCAGAGGAGTGATTTCAATACTCTAGCTTCTGATTCTGGTTAGTGATCTTTAAATGTTTATCACCTTACTATTACTCCTCTTGTGACTTCCCCTCTTATATTGTCCACACCTCCAACACACATACACACTGATCAAGTTATGGATGGCTGAAGGCGTAACAGCTAATCGCCACTCTTCTTAGCCATATGTCCTGAAAGTTTCCAGTTAAAGAGAAACGAGACTGTTTATACAGAGTTTTTTCTACTATATAAAAAGGTCCTTAGATTATAAATGACTAATGTGGAATTAATTTCTTCTTCTTTATACATAGTTGTACCTACTAAACTGCCTTAGTACCCTATTGCCTTGTCATTGGGTCGAGTAACTGAGGCTCTAAGAAAATGGGAACCAGAATAGATCTAAATACTCAAGTTCAAAGTTGTAGGTTAAAAGAAAAGCAAAAGCAAGTCCAGGAGCATATCAGCGAGGCTTTCTCTGAAGCAGGAGGGAAAGGTAGGGGGGCTGAAGATGGAGAAGCAAAACAAGTGCTCCTGGATGGAGAGGAAGCTGTTAAGGACATGGCTGGATTCTGCTATCCGGAGCTGGGAACCAGGAATGCTCTTGAGGTTTGTGAAGATTTTTTGTCCTCATGGGATAAGACTAGCAGAGGGCATGGCACTCAGACAAAACCCAGTGCATTTTCCCCTCAGTATCTGTGGAGAATTGGTTTCAGGGCACCCTCACCCTATTCCTCCATTCCCTCCCCTGTGGATACCAAAATCCATGGATGCTCAGGTCTCCAATATAAAATGGTATACAAAAAGATAAATACCACACTTTCTCACTTATAAGTGGGAACTAAATAATGTGTACACACTGACATAGCATGTGATAATAGACAATGGAAACTCAGAAAGATGGAAAGTTGAGGGAGGTATATGATGAGTATATTAATGGGTACAATGCATGTTATTCTGCTGATGCATACACTAAAAGCCAAGACTTCACCATTATGCAATATAGCTATGTAACCAAACTACATTCATACTCCACAGATACATACAAATTTAAAAATTTAATAAAAAAGTAAAATGGTGTAGCATTTGCATATAATCTAGGCTCATCCTCTTATATAGTTTAAATTATCTCTAGATTATTTGTAATACCTAATATAATACAAATGCTATGCAAATAGTTGTTACAATGTACTGGTTTTTAATTTGTATTATTTTTATTATTGTATTGTTATTTTTTTATTGCTTTTTTTCCCTGAATATATTCCATCCTCGGTTGGTTGAATCCACAGACACAGAACTGGTGGATATGGAGGGCTGACTGTATTATCTTTTTCTTGAATTTCTGTACTTATCCTTTTCCTCCCCAGTTTGCTACCCTGAGTTCAGTCCTAATTTAGAGCCCTGGTGGGACTGGCTGCTAGCAGGGAGCATGGTCCTATTTTCTTATGTGAAATATGACTGTGTTTTCAAACACTTGCTGAAACTATGCAGAAATGTTCAGATTGTTCTTTATCTACAGACACACAGACAGTAAAAGACACTGCAGATTGCTATTGGCTCCAATGTCATTCCTGACCCAGGGCCCCGGTGTTCCACTGTTTCCTACTGCATGATTTTGCTCTTACGGGACTCCATGACACCTGTTTCTGATTACATTATTCCTCTGTCACAAATCAACATAGAGTCAGAAATTATACAGTATGAAGGGATGGGAAAAAAGAATGGGAGAGGCTGAGGCAGCTCATCCCTGAAGATATAACCAGACAGATAGGTAGAACAAGATTGATACCCTTTTCTGCAAGAATACCAATTTAAAAGCTATCTACACAAAAAAGCACTTTCATAATACCCAAATCATGTGAGCACTCACAATACCTGGTTTTTACTTTGCATCATTGAAAGAGGCACAGAAAAGGGTAGGAAAGATAGTTTTGAATTGCAGACACCATACTTCCCTCATCCCATGGCAGCAGCTATGTGGCACAGAGAGAGAATCCATGCACCTGGGTGAGGAAGAACACAGGTATTGTGACACATTGTGTTGAACTCAGTGCTGCACTGTCACAGCAGAAAGCAAAAGCACACTGAACTCAGCTGATGTCCACCTAGGAAGGAGCATTTAAACCAGCCCTAGCCAGAGGGGAATTGCCCTTCCCAGTGGTTGGAACTTGAGTTCTGGCAAGCCCTGTCACTGCAGGCTAAAGTGTTTTAGGGCCCTAAGTGAAGTTGAAAGGCAGTCTATGCCACAATGACTGCTACTCTTAGGCAAGTCATAGTGCTGAACTGGGCTCAGAGCCAGAAGACTTGGGGGACATGTGACCTGCTGAGACATCAACCAGGGCAACTAAGGGAGTACTTGTGCTACCCCTCCCCCAACCCCAGGGGAGGCTGCACAGCTCAAGATTCCAAAAAAGACCCCTTCATTCTACTTCAGGAGGGGAGAGGAAAGAGTAAAGAGGACTTTGCCTTGCATCTTGGATACCATCTCAGCCACAGCAGGATAGGGTGCAGAGCATGAGGCCCTAGCTCCCAGATGACATTTTTAGACATAGCCTGGGCCAGAAGGGAACCTGCTGCCTTGAAGGGAAGGATCCTGTCCTGGCAGAACCCATTAACCACTATTTGAAGAGCTCTTTGGCTCTGAATAACCAGCAGCAATACCCAGATAGTACGCTATGGGCCTTACGTGAGCCTCTGAGACTTCCTGGCTTCAGGTGAGATTCAGCATATTACCCGCTGTGGTGGCTTTGGGGAAAGACACATTCTTTTTGAGAGAAGTGGAGGAAAAAATAAAGGGGACTTTCCTTTGCACCTTAGGTCCAAGCTCAACCACAGCGGGGGGCGGAGCACCAAGCAGGTGCTTGGGGTCCCCAGTTCCAGGCCTTGGCTCTTTGACACCATTTCTAGACTTGCTCCGGACCAAAGAGGAGCCCACTTCTCT